GAAGGATATACAGTCAAACCAAAAATGATTCAGAGACCAAATATAATTATTTTTATTTTTTTTACTAGTGGGTGTAGGACACTATAGTTCATTTATGTAAAGTGAGGATAGCAAAATAAACTAAACTGTGATATATTATACCCCAAAATTCTTCATACAGTGGACTACCAGTAAAACTGATACAAATTTGGGACCAAAAATTATTCAGACCGAGTCTGGGAAAAAATTGAAGTTCAGGTTTGCATGAAGCTGGATGACGGCATGCCCAGGAGACTATATGCTGTCATTAAGGCTAAGGGTCACCCGACAAAGTATTGATAGTTGTGTAAATATTGACAGCTGTATGAATAATTTTTGGTTTATTGTAATCCATTACATACCTTTCTATCAAAGTTATCTGACATTATCAAGCTGAGTTTGTTCTGACACAATTTAACTCTGAGGTCTTGTCATATTTTATTACCATTTTCTAAACTATAGCGAACAAACTGTGATAATGTGAGAAATGTTGAAGGTGTCTGAACAAATTTTGGTTTGACTGTATCTATTTGATACATGAAGTTAACCAACTAACATTATACATACTCTTTTGGTTTCTGTACACAATATTTTAAAAATGTACAAATGCAATGAAAATATTGGTATCGGCAAGTACCAAAAATAAAAGTATCGGTATCGGGCGAGTACTGGAAAAAGTGGTATCGGTGCATCCCTCCTTTTAGGAGTAAATTAGCAAATACTAGATTAGTAGTTATCATCTTTTTTAATTCCACTGACCTCCATTGTCCACAGCAATATTTGAAGACCCCCCCATTTAGGCTAATGGTTTCCAGTGGAACATCTGCTGTAATGACAGTTTTGTTTTTCAAAACTTTTTCTCTAATTTGCAGAATCTAGGAGTGTCTTTTAGATTAAATTAAGTTAAAATAAGTTTCAGAATTATTTAGAAGCTGAATGTTCTTCTGGGATACCATTTACCATTTTTAATTTAGATGTTTGTCTTTTACTGTATAAGGATTTTTAAAATACTTTAGAATGTCTACCTGATTAAATATTTTGGAGCTTTGCATAACTAGAAAATATATATGTATGTATAAAATGGCATTTAAATATTTTCTTAATTTACATGACTTCTCCAGGTTTTCTATAAGTCACAATTGTAAGTGTAAATCAGCTTTGAATCAATTTACTTCCTCATACAGTATATCTTGATTGTCTAAGACCATAATTTGTATTTTTTAATCATATTTGAATAATTATTTTGTCCTATTTTGATGCCCCCTGGTTGAGAACCACTGATATAGATGGAATCAAAGCTAACAGACTAATAGAGACCACAAAGGTTTTTCTAACAGTGGTACTGTCTTTAATACAGTATGAATTCCATCAGTACATGTTACTCCGTTTTTCTCTCTTGCAGGCAGACTGGTGTGCGAAACGGCATGTTCTTTGGCCGGGCTAAGCAGCTCTGTCCTGATCTGCAGTCTGTCCCATATGACTTCCAGGCATATAAAGAGGTGGCACTGTCCATGTATGAGACCTTGGCGAGGTACCAGATATAACTTTTTTTGGATTGCTACATTATTCCTAAACCCAGCAGACAAATGCAAAAATTCTCTTGCTTCATGGTTGTTTTATAGTTACACTCATAACATTGAGGCACTGAGTTGTGATGAGGCGCTGGTAGATGCCACAAAACTTCTGGTTGAGCTGGGGGTTACTCCTGATGATCTAGCACGAGCCATCCGTGAAGACATAAAGGAGAAGACTGGTTGCTCTGCCTCAGTTGGAATGGGTAAGAGAATTTATTTAGTGACCCTTATTTTGTTCCAAACCTTTATGACTTTCTTTCTTCCATGGAACACAAAAGGAGAAATAAAAAAAAAAGTGCTGCTCTCTCTCATTCCCTTTCCATGCAATTACAATGAATAAGAATTTTGAAAGGATGCAAAAGCGCCATAAATGTATCATAAAACTAATGAGCTATATTCCGTAAGTCTTCTAAAGCCAAACAATACAATTGTGCTTCTCACATGAACTTTCATGAACATGCCAAAGTCAGGTACAGCAAAACTACTTTTTTTGGAGCTTTAGAGTTTTAGTCCTCATTTACTTACTTTTAACTTGAAAAGAGTGTCCGGGGTATTCTTTAAAAATTCACCTTTCATACAAGTCATAGAGGTTTGGAACAACATGATGGACATGAAGTTGAATGACAATGCGTTTTATTGTAACGAAGTTGCTAGTGCGCTTTCATCTCTAATAGCTTTTGTAACTTCCCTTCTACTTCTTATTAGGTTCCAACATCCTTCTTGCTCGGATGGCAACTCGTAAGGCAAAACCAAATGGGCAGTACTTCCTCAGATCAGAGGAAGTGGATGATTTTATCAGGGATCAACCTGTCTCCAGTTTGCCTGGTAAGAACAGAGCATCTTACATTCACTACCATTCAGAAGTTTAGGTAGTTTGGAACGATTTTTAAATGTTTTTGAAAGTCATCTCTTATTCTCACCAAGGCTGCATTTATTTAATAAAAAGTACAGCAAAAGCAGTAATACTGTGAAATATTATTACAAAACTAACTATAAAAATAAGTTTTCTCTTTTAATATACTTTAAAATATAATTTATTCAGCCATTACTCCAGTCTTCAGTGTGACATGATCCTTCAGAAATCATTCGAATATGCTTGTGCTCAAGAAACATTTCTGAAACTGTTGAAAACAGTTGTTCTGCTTTTTGTGGAAACTGACACATTTTTTCAGGATTCTTTGAAGAATAGAAAGTTTAGAAGAACAGCATTTATTTGAAATAAAATTTGTAACATTGTAAATATCTGTACTGTCACATTTGATCAATTTAATTAATCCTTCCTGAAAAAAAGTATTAATCTTACTGGTCTGAAACTTTTGAATGGTTGGATATTTTAATCTGAATGCAGTGTTTTACAGTGGAATTTATTGCTGTATTTGTGTATGTGTGGACCGGTGCGTCTGTGTTCTTATGTGCAGGTGTGGGTCGCTCAATGAGCTCCAAGCTGACCTCCCTGGGTGTGAGTACCTGCGGTGACCTGCAGCAGTTGTCCATTTCTCGACTGCAGAGGGAGTTTGGGCCACGGACAGGACAGACACTTTTTCGCTTTTGCAGAGGACTGGATGACAGGCCTGTGCGCAGCGAGAAGGAGAGGAAGTCTGTGTCTGCTGAGATGAACTACAACATTCGGTTCACACAGGTTTTGAAGTTACAGCAATCATTGCAAATCATCCTGTATCTGTCATTGTCCTCAGTCCGTTGACCTCTCTCATAAGTTTCCCATTACACTGCTCCGGGTGTGTGTTCACTGCTGTGTGTGTGCACTTTGGATGGGTTAAATGCAGAGCACTAATTCCAAGTATGGGTCACCATACTTGGCCACATGTCATGTCACTTTCATTACCTCTAATACTTTGCTAGGTTGAAGAGGCGGAGTCTTTCCTTACGAACCTATCTATGGAAGTGCAGAAGAGGATGGAGGGGGCGGGGCTTAGAGGTCGCCGGATTACACTGAAGGTCATGATGCGGAAACCAGGGGCTCCAGTAGAGCCAGCCAAATATGGTGGCCATGGGATATGTGACAACTTTGCCAGGTGACTTGCACCAGGATAAATTAACAATGTCCTATCAAATAACCAGTGCATTTGTTTTTGGGTAGTGATCTGCTACAGATCATTTCTATTGTGACGTACATCTGAGTGAAACGGATTATTAAAAAAGAAAAAAATTTGGTTCAGTTTGTGGTTGTTGATTGAATGGAGGCAGATCTGAATGCAAGCTTGCAGTTGATTAGTAAGAAAGCTGTGGTGTTTAAGCAGACTAATGAGTAGAGTTTCAAGTTATGACATTTTGATTAAGAATTATGAAAAAAAAATAAAAAATGAAATGCATGAATGAATCATTCACAATAAGTTCAATAACATGCATTTAGAAAACAGGCTCAATTTACATTTAAAATTCTGGCTAATACCAGTAAGCTAAAGGTAATTCTTTTCATGTTGTGGTCACTATTAAAATTCTATACAATTTTGTCTAAATAAAAAATAAAATCAGATATTTTATATGCGGCAAGTGAATTTAGGCATCACAACATTGTAACATACAATATGACTTTTTTTTTTTTTTTTTTACTTTTGCTTAAGGAAAGAAATTATTCATTTATAAGTGTTTTTCAATATTAACTTTGTTACATGACAGCAAAGGTAATTAAAATTTAAAAAGCAGAAAAAAAGCAAAAATGAGCATGCACAATTAAACATCCAATATTAACCGATATAGATTTAATTAACTTTAATTTAAATCTTTAATATTGACTGATAAGCAAACTCTATTTTTGATATATGTTTGAGATTCTCAATACTGTCACATTGCAGGTCTGTTTTACTAGCTCAGCCCACTGACAGTGGTCAGCTGATTGCAGCAGAGGCCATTAAGCTATTCTATGCCATGAAGCTGGATGTAAAGGACATGAGGGGAGTGGGACTGCAGGTGCAGCAGTTGGAGGGATCATATGCAGATCCATCAGGACAAGGGCCCTCTCGTGGTCGCTCGATCAAAGACCTGCTGCTGGCCAAACAGCCTGCCCACAGCCCCAGGAAAGACCCTCTAGCACAAGGTCAGAGCAGTGTGAATAGGACAGAGTTCTTCAAATCCAGCCCTGGACTGTTCTGCAGAGTTTAGATTTAACCCTGATCAAACACACCTACCGGTTACTCTGAAATTTTTTCTTCTCAGGCGTGTTTGATTAGGGTTGGAGCTAAACTCTGCAGGGCCAGAATTGAAGAACCCTGGATTTATAGGATATGAAGTGTAGGATTCATGTTGTTATCTAACTCTTAACATACCTTTCTTGTTGCTTGTATTTTAGATGGTTTAACCGGCCCTTCTTCATCCAGAGCTTTCTCCTCCAATCAGGAGAGAGTTACCCCTCCATCATCACCACCTTCCACCAGCTCGGATCCAATGCCTGGAACAAGTAAAGGAGGTCTTCACCATCCACACACCCCCAACCATGTCAGGACATACCTAAACGTCAGCATTGAGGTGCCATCCCCCTCTCAGGTTAGATTCTCCTCGCTTGAATGCACCTCAGGAACAAAAAAAAGAAAACTTCTGTTTTTTATTTCAAGTATTTTTTGTGTGAGCAATTAACTGTAAGTGACACACAAATGTAGTATTTCCTGTTAGTGCAAATATTGTTGACAGCTCTTAATGTGTCCTTAAAAATGGATGTTGTTTTTGTCATTTTGCAGACAATAAGGATGAAATAGAGCTTTGTGTGGTTTCTTTGTTGATTTATTTTTATGTAGAATGTTTATTGACTCTTTACTGTTTAGTCTTACACAGACAATGCTTAATATCCCGACAACAAGGTCAACTTTTTAAAAGAAATAAATAATTTTATTTAAAAAAAAAGATGTATCAGATTGATCAAAAGTGACAGTTAAGAAATGCTGTTCTTTTGAACTTTCTGTTTATCAAAGAATCCTGAAAATATATCAGTTGCCACAAAAATATTAAGCAGCACAACTCTTTTCAACACTGAACAATCAGCGTATTAGAATGATTTTTGATGGATCAAGTGACATTGAAGACCGAAGTAATGGCTGCTGAAAATTAAGCTTTGCCATCACAGGAATAAATAACATTTTAAAATATATGAAAATAGAAAATGTTATTATTTTTATATATTGTAATTTTAAATTGTAAAAATATTTCACAGTATTGCTGCTATTTTTTAAATAAATGCAGCTTTAAAAAAAAAAAAATTTAAACATTTTTCTGACCTCAAGCTTCTGAATGATAATATATTAAATGAAATGCAAGCGCCTGTTTTCCCTCTTGTTTCAGGTGGACCAGTCTGTTTTAGAGGCTTTACCTGTAGACATAAGGAAACAGGTGGAGCAGTCCTGGAGACACAGAGAGGAGCAGCCCAGCACCTCATCTCATCTCTCAACCCCACCTAGAACCTCCTCATCTCCACCTCCAGGTCCATCGCTTGGCACCCTTGTACTGCAGCTCCCAGACCAGCCAGGTCAACCATGCACAACGGGCATTATACTAGAGCTCCCTGATTTCTCCCAGGTACATGCTGTTAAAATTGCAACCACAGGGGGGAAACATGGTGAAATGGTGTTACGTTGACCATCAGAAACTAGTATTTTAGATATCCTCCCAACACACCTGAACTTTTAACAGGTTGACCCAGAAGTGTTTGCAGCTCTTCCCAGAGAGCTTCAGGAAGAGCTGTGCTCTGCTTATAGAAACAAGGGAAATGCTCAAGCCCATGCTCAAGCTCAAGGCAGTGCTGGTGAGTAAAAATGAACAGGGGTGCGCAAGATATCTGGACTAATATATATATATATATATATATATATATTGTCTCTTGAAGAGTGTTTTCCCTTCAAGGCCACATGTTGGAGTGAGTTGCTTTGCATGTGCATAATAGTTGAACTGTGTGCATAAAAAAAAAAATATACAAAAACCTTACTAGTTTTACTTTGGAAAGTGCAGTAAACGTAGTTTTTCAAGACTTATCTAACCAACATCCAGAGCTCATTCCTCTAACACACAGTACTTTTTTAAAACTAATTTCATCTTACTGAAATCTGAAATATTAACAAAGTAGTATAGATATATAATATTTGCCAGTTATTGACATTTGCTGTAAAATAACAACTTTCAGCTTATCGATTTAATGTTGATGTGTCCACTAAAATTAAGTAATCAACCACTACCACACGCCAAACACAGTGTCTCTAACCTTTCTCTCTTGTTTCTGTAGTGGAACAAAAAAACCCATTTTCTCAACTAAAGCAGCCTGCAGTGGGGAAATTGAAGCGCCGCTACAAAAAAAGAAATGCTAGTCCTGCCAAAAAGGGTCCAAGTCCACTAAAAAAACTATTTCCTGGAAACAGCCCTGCCAAATCCAGCCCCTCCAAAACTCTTCCTCTGCCACTCAAACAGCCAGGCCTCAAAGTAAGCCTGTAATCCAGTTATAATATTCTTCTGTTTATCTATAATATCTTCAGCCGCTTGATACACTTTAAATACATCTGTGTTCAAAGTTTTTGGGGAAAAAAAGTATTAATTTGAGATGTTTCTCGTTTGTAGACTGAAAATGTACGGTGCCCATCCTCTCCGAGCACGGATGTCCCAGAGACGCTGTCCAAATTGAATCCCCGCCCAGTCCCAACCCTAGCTGGAGCTTATGAATTCAGTGACATCAGAACTCTGCTTCGTGAATGGGTCACCACCATCTCGGGTATGGACAAACAGCAAGACCTTTTGAAATTACCAGTATATATTTGAATTGTGCAGTTGGTTTATTTGTGTGGCGCTACGTATTCACAGAACCAATGGAAGAGGACATTCTCCAGGTGGTGAAGTACTGCACAGAACTCGTGGAAGATAAAGACCTGGAGAAACTCTACCTTGTCATCAAATACATGAAGAGGTATTGCTCTGAATTCTCCCTTACTAATTCATATAAATAAACACAAGTACATTATAAATCTCACCAGTAGTATTAAAGGGGTCATATGATGTGATTTCAAGTTTTCCTTTCTCTTTGGAGTGTTACAAGCTCTTGGTGCATAAAGAAGATCTGTAAAGTTGCAAAGACTAAAGTCTCAAATCCAAAGAGATATTCTTTATAAAAGTTAAGAGCTAAACACGCCTACCTAAAACGGCTCGTTCTAACACGCCCCCACATATCTACGTCACGATGTGGGAAGATTTGCATAACGCCGCCTAAATGTTCACGCAAAGAAAGAAGGCGTAACTTTTATTCTCGCTGTAGTATTGTTGTTGCCGCCGCCATGTCGTGAAGACGCTGTGTGTTTCGTTGTGAAAGCGAAACTACTTTGTTTGGCCTTCCAAAAGAGGATGATATCCGCTTCGTCATGCCTGGAGCTGATCCGTGCTGGTCGCTGAGGAAATACATCAACTTCGCGCTGTGGATCGCCGGATCGGCTTTCACCATGGACGAAGCGGAGTCCAGCCCGGAGTCGTCACATGTCCTTCCGGATGCTCCTTCGTCGAAATCGCCGGCCGCGCCGTTCTCAAGCCCGCCGCCTCTGCTCACTCTAACCCTCCGGCTGTTCCTCACGCTAGCCCCCGGCCTCTGCTCACTGCTCTGCTTACTGTAGGCCGCCGCCGCAACTAGCACAGATCAGCTCCAGGCATGACGAAGCAGATATCGTCCTCTTTTGGAAGACCAAACAAAGTAGTGTCGCTTTCACAACGAAACACACAGCGTCTTCACGACATGGCGGCGGAAACAACAATACTACAGCGAGAATAAAAGTTACGCCTTCTTTCTTTGCGTGAACATTTGGGCGGCGTTATGCAAATCTTCCCACATAGTGACGTAGACATGTGGGGGCGTGTTAGAACGAGCCATTTTAGGTAGGCGTGGCTGACTCTTAACTTTTATAAAGAATATCTCTTTGGATTTGAGACTTTAGTCTTTGCAACTTTACAGATCTTCTTTATGCACCAAGAGCTTGTAACACTCCAAAGAGAAAGGAAAAATTTAAATCGCATCATATGACCCCTTTAATACACTACTTGACCAAAAGTGACAGCAAAGAGATGTATTGTGTTACTGTTTCTATTTCAAGTAAATACTGTTCTTTTGAACTTTATATTCATCAAATAATCTTTAAAAAATGTCACTGTTTTCAATGTTCTACTTGTCAATGATTCTTTATTAAAATGATTTCTAAAGTATCATGTGACAAAGATTGGAATAATGACTGCTGAAAATTCAGCTTTGCCAACAGGAATACATTTCATTTTAAAATATAATAAAATCGAAAACGGTTATTTTAAATTGTAATATTGTTTCTTAATATTACTGTTTTTACTGTATTTTGATCAAATAAAAATGCAGCCTTGGTGAGCATAAGAGACTTCTTTCAAAAACATTTCAAAATCTTACTGACCCCAAACCTTTGAACAGTTAGTGTAGGTTGATTGGGCCTTTCTGATTAAACCGTGTCATTGTTTTAACTGTTGGTTTCAGACTTATGCAGCAGTCCTCGGAGTCAGTATGGAGCATGGCCTTTGACTTCGTCCTTGACAATGTGCAGGTAGTGGTACAGCAAACCTATGGTAGCACTCTGAAGATCACATAGGAGGACCGTCCTAACCTCAGTCACTGTGACATCAGCCCAGACCTGCCACCTCATCATGACGTGTGAGAGAGACAACAAAACCACTCGAGTCTGCCAATCATTATAGCATTGCTTATCCTCTTGTGAAATCACTGATTTGAGTTTCTCAGAGAACACAGAGGATTACAAGATCATGCCAATGATGATGAGGAACAGATGAGCATACCAGCTACATTCAGAAGCAGCTGAACACTGAACTTTTCTTTCATCATGATGTCAGTTCTCCATACTAATGTCTAGAGGTATTTTGGTAACACTTTTCAATCAGGTTGTGTTTGTTAACATTAGTTAATGCATTAAGTGTCATGAACTAACAATGACTAATTTTTGACAGCATTTATTAATCTTGGTTATAGTTAATTCATGCTATTTTACTAGTTCTTCTTAGTTATTAATGCATTAACCAATAGTAACATACAGTACATTTGTAACCTTTAAAGATGTATATGTAAAAATTAACATTTTACAGCACTTATTAATCTTGGTTAAAGAATTATTGGTTTTTAGTTCACGGTAACTATTGGGTTAACTAATATTAACATGTACAACCTGGTTATAAAATGTTACCAGAACGTTTTTTAATGTTTTAAATGCACTGACTGTCCTAAACCAAGCAGAGCAAGCCTCTTTGCTTTCTGTTAGCTTTTTGGATTTTTTTCCTTTCTTGTCTTCATTTCTCATACTCCAGAATGTGTTTATCTTAAAAGCCTCAGAAATATTTACAGACTTTGTAGCAAAGCAGAATAGAGTGGCATGTTATTTGCCTTTTATGGGTCAGTCCAAGATGTTAAAAGTGGAAATCGGGAAAACGGCCTCTTCTAGCAAAGTCAATTTAGCATGTGGATACTAACATTTTATGTAAAGCTAACATTTATGTTTTTCTAGAAAAATATTGCTCTCTCTTATTGATTGTTTGTTATTGTATGCTTGTCCTTATGTGTAAAAGAGCTAAGAGAGAGAGAGATACATATTTATGAAGAAAAAGATTTAAACATTGGCCAGGTTAATTTTACTAAATTGAGTTTGAAATGTCCTGTTATGCTTCTCAGTCTTTTATTCTAAATTTGTGGATGTGGTGCTGGAGGAAAGGAAGGGTTTTTCAATCAGGTGGATGTGAACTGCATAATAGGTCAAAGTGGATACTTCATTACAACATTCTAAATGAAGCATTTTCCTCTCAATTCTTGTTCAATGTAGGTCTGGCTTTATGTATAAACAGAATGTACTTGACTCCTCAAAGTTTGTACTTTCTTGGTTGTAAGAAGCTGCTCAAGAGACAGACATCTGTTATTATCTCACATTATCATGACATTACAGAGGAAGGCCTAAAAATTAATATTTGGTCAAAAATCTGTCATGACAGAATGACCCGTGCCTGAAGACCTGAAGCTGTGACATAATTTGTATGTTTTCTAAATTTGCAAATAAATGTGGATAAGATAATACGATCTTGTTTTGTTTTTTTTTTATTGTTTTTATGTATGTACAGTATTTATAATTTGTGGATCAGCCTGTAATTGATCTATAAATAATGTCACTAACAATGATGATGTATCAGAAAACATCTCATGCCAAGCCAAATAAAGTTAAATAAGATGCCTAAAAAAAAAAAAACGATAAAGAAAAAGACAAAAGGCATTTATCTCTGGCGAAATCTGTGCAGCTGTAGAGAACTATTTAATAACACGGAGAAAAGTTGCAGCTTGTAGTGATGTACAATACAAATAATGCCACAAACACCGTGGTACAACATTTGAATGGAGCATTTAAGAGGCAGAATCAAATTCAAAGATAAAGATTTATTAAATTTGTTTTGCATTCATATATTTTGGTCATATTTGATAATGAAAAAGAATATAAAAATTATACTGATCTAAGTTAAATAAAAAAACGGAGCTTAATGTTTACATTTTAAAATATACTTCTTGACCGAGCTGCCTTTTGTGTAATGTAGCAAAATACTACAGTTACAGTAACAATAATTATAACTATTGTTTTACTATGGTATACAAGTATGGTTATGGTTACCATGCACTGCTTTTTATATTTGTAAAGAACTGTACGATAGAACAATAAAACATTATTTTTTAAATATATTTATATTGTTTATAAATGCGTCGAAAGCGCTACGATTGCATGACGTGATCAGTCGACGCCATAGTTGCCAAGTCCGCGTATTATACGCGATTTTGGGCTTCTTTTTTTAAAAAAGTTGCTTGAAAAAATCCCGGGTCGCGGGTTGCGTTTTTTTGGGGGGGCTTATTTAAAAAAAAAAAAGGTTACTTGTTAGGGAAATCTGACAAGCAACTTCGTTTCTTTATTTATGTTCGCCGTATAGACCAATTTGGAGTAGACGTCACAGTTACGTCACTTGCAGCTGCGCGTGCATAGTGGTTGCAGAAAAACACTGGGAACAACTAGGTCTACATAATATTCACATATGCTGTTCATAGGGGACGTATTGTATTAGCCCTACAATTACAGCATGAAATATTATTTAAACCTTACTATTAACATTTTTACATAACATTTATTTATTTTATCTCACAATTTTGACTTTTTTTCTCGCAAATGCAAGTTTATATCTCCTAATTCGGATTTTATAACTCGACTTAACTCAAAAATAGTGAGTTTGTCAAATCTGAGGGAAAAAAGCCAGAAGAGCCGAGGGGAAAAGAGAGAATGACGAGTTGTTTTTCCTTATTAGAATTGTGAGATATAATCTCGGAATTGCGAGAATAAAGCCATAATTTTGAAATATAAAATCAAATTTACCTTTTTAAATTATTTTATTCCATGGCTCCATAGTATTGAAACCTGTTTTTATACAGTCTATGATTGAAAACCGTCATTTTCTGCCTCCAGATAGGCTCCGCCCACAGCAAACGTCATCCCTGTTTCGGATCTAACGTCAATTTCGTTGAATAACAGCGCTTATCGCTGGGTGACAAGCTCTTGTAATATGCGTAGAACATTTTGAAAATGACATCTAATCAATATAATTTATAATCTTTTTAAACCTAACTATTTTGTACCGTATCCGTGAAATTCTCTAGCCAAAAAGGCTATCTCTCCTGGGTTTTCTGCAACCATGATGCGCGCGCATCCTGAATGTTTACAAACCAATAATTGGTCTATTCTCCAATGCACTGGTTGACAATAGGCTTGTTTGAAACGAGCAAATTCTGCGCAGAATCGATCACCGCGAGATGCATGCCGGTTAGACAAGTGTCCGAGTTACGTCCGACTTGCTCTGATGTCATGCTGACGTGTCAAGTAGTCCTATACTAGTACTAAGAGTAAATAGCCTATACATTTGGTTCGAATAGCCTATATTTTAGTAGGCTATAAATATGTGGCTATGTTACAGTTCCCCTTTGAAGCTCTTGTGTTTTTCTCCTTTTCCATCTCTCCAATCCTATTCTGCTCACAGGTGATTGGAGATGACTTTTGTTCCCATTTTTGTTGCAGTTTGCTGATTTGTGTAAAATAGCTTCTGTTTTTGCTTTTCAGATAAAAGAGTGGTTTCAGTTTAATATGTTGCAGGCTCATTTATTGGTAATAAATAATTGATAATAAATAATATTGATGATGACAAATCATCAAAAAAATATTGGGCTTGTTTTTGAAGTAGCGGTTGCTTATTTGTCTCGCGAGAGTTGGCAACAGTGGTCGACGCCTCTAACGTTACGTGAAACCTGCGTCAGTGTGCCGCCTTCTAGAAATCATCATACGGCTTCGGTAAGTGCTCTTCCCTGACTACATAAAAATAGTCGTACATTTCAAATGTTATGTCAGTTGAAATTATTTCTAGCTTGTCGTTGCTTTCTGGAGAGAGTGTTGCTTTCCGATTAAACAGGCGATCAAAGCTGCCGTTACCACGGTGCGTGGAAGCTAAAGCAAGAAGCTACCGCTAGCACGATTTGACACAAAGCTACACATCAATTTTAAACTCAGCAGTCCTTATTTACAAGAGCTTATTGCATGTTGAAATCATCAACTGTTGATTAGACACTAACATAGGATTTAGAAAAAGCATGTTTGTCTTTATGCGGCTGTAGTCAGGCGCTGGCCCACTACCACCAGTATCTCTGTTGTCAATAAACAAAATGCCCATAAAACCCAGATGTGTATTGATTGTCGTGTGCCACACTTTTCATATGTGAGCGGCATTTGCTTCGTTAAATTTCATGCTGTATGCACTTCAAAAGTGTCAACTCAGAACTGTTTACCAAGTAACTTATAGCGTTATTTCAACAGACACCATGATACTAACTAAAGGCACAAATGCCATGTTGTTGTTGTTAGACCTGTTAGACGTGTGATAAAACAGTTATTTAACAACTTTAAGTTAATCTAGTATAAAGTGTGTCTTGTTTGATTTATTTTAATAATTATGAAGTTCACCGTTTACTTTTTTTTTATTTTTTTTTATGGGATGTTACATTACTTGTCAGTATCTAATTTCATCCAACAATGTGCTGTATTTCTAAGAGGCAGTCAGGAATTAAGAGGAAATGGCCAGTCAGTCCATGGAGGTTGTAGCGAAAGCTCTGGAGCAGCAGATGCTGCAGTCGGCACGGATAGTGGAAGAGAAGCTGGATGGCGAACTGGAGAAGTTGGAGCGCATGGATGAAGATGAGCTGGAGCGACTCAAGGAGAGAAGGCTTGAGGCCCTTAAGAAAGCTCAAAAACAGAAGCAGGTAGCTATTATAGATGTTTTAAAGAAATCTTGGTCTAAATTTGGAACTTGTTTTAAATGTAGTATTAAAATGTTTAATCAAAATGAGTTAGCCACATTACAGTGCATTGAAACAGATCAGATTCCTTCACTAGTGTGATTAAACTTTGCGGTCTGTTGTATGTGTCTGTCCTCAGGAGTGGATATCTAAAGGACATGGTGAATACAGAGAGATCCCAAGTGAGAGAGATTTCTTTCCTGAGGTGAAAGACAGCAAAAGTGTGGTCTGCCATTTCTACAGAGATTCTACCTTCAGGTATTTGAGGACATTTTTTTTCTTATACTAACCTTGCATTTTGTATTATAAATCAATTGTGTATACAGATTAGTGTTAATTTTGTCAGCCATTTTTAATTTAGTCTTAGTCTTTTAAATTAAGTCTTAGTCCTGTGTCTCATACTTTTTAGTTATTATCATATTTAGTCAACCTTGTCCTGTTTTTGTTTAGTCAAGTTTTAGTCGACTAAAATGTCTGAGCATTTTGTCTAGTTTTAGTCAATGGAATCTTAGTCACATTTTCGTCATGCTGTATAATGGTTAAACTGATAAAAAAAATATTTTTGCTCAAAATAATAATTGTAATCAGTGTTGTCATTTGAGAAATTTATTTTCGCATTTCAGGTAGTGTACTTTCGCACAAAACAATGAAACAAAGAATGTGGATACACATGGTTTATTTTCTATTGTACTGATTTATTATAGGCTATTTATTATAGAAATTAATATCAAATACTTATGTGCTCTCTCTGACTACATAATGAAAACTAGTAAAACAAGCAAAAAAATATTACAACCGTGAAATTCCTAATAGTAAATCTCTATTAAAACAACAGCGGTTGAGTAAGCGCATTTATTCAGCAACCACAATCAAACAAAATAGTCGAGATCTCACGACAGAACACAGACCGGCTGAATGACGCTTTCATTTAAGCTGAACATCTCGAATGGCGATTTCTAAACTTCAGCTTACTTGTTTGCCGGTGTTTTCAGATCATCGTCGGCACTTCCGCAATGAAGAGCGAGCATGTGGACATGGTTGCCAGATTGCAAAAATTTAGCAAAACATCAGACCGAAAGTATCCTTTTAACAGAGAAGCTCTGATTTGGGGATTTGAACTGTTGATATCTGGCAACCACAGACATGAAAGCTTGCGTAGTAGAGGTGTGTACAGCAGTCCAATTATATTGGTCAATAATACAGTCCAATAATTATTTTTAAAATAAAAAGAGATTTTGGTAAAGTTTTTATTTTTTAAAATACATTTAGGTCTCGTCTTTTATCATCAACGATATTGCATGTTGATATAGTCAGTTATCTTTTATTGACCTTATTGTCGTCTCGTCATCGTCTTGTTTTAGTCATGGGCAAAAAGCTTATCAACGAACATTTTTCGTCTTAGTTTTCGTAAACGAAATTAACACTAATACAGATATTTTCAATGTTAAATTTTTTTTTTCAAAGATGCAAAATTTTGGACAAGCATCTTGCTGTTTTGGCAAAGAAACATCTGGAAACAAAGTTTATCAAGTTGAATGTTGAGAAGGCTCCATTCCTAACCGAGAGGCTGAGGATTAAAGTCATTCCAACACTGGCTCTGGTGAAGGATGGGAAGACTAAGGATTATATTGTGGGCTTCACTGATCTGGGCAACAAAGATGAATTCCCTACTGAAATGCTGGAGTGGAGACTGGGCTGCTCAGATATCATTAATTACAGGTGAGTGAAGGAGATATATATATTCTATAGTTAAACACACTGAGGTCAGGCCACCATTCAGGGGCACCAGAGTGGAAGAGCAGGGCATGCTCAATGTTAAGGGGCGTGTTGAGAAGAATCGTGATGTCACAATTCTCCCGATTTATGGGCAAGGATAAAAAAAAATATTTGTATTTTAAACTAGGTTAAGTTTTAAGTTCTGAAACTTTCACTATGTTTTTATTCTAGAGGAACCTACAATAAAAACATTATTGTAAAGTATATGCGTAAATATCAAAAACATTTTGATTCTCTATTTCATGACCCCTTTAATGTTTTAAAATGTAATTTATTCCTGTGATAGCAAAGGTGAATTTTCAGCAGCCATTATTCCAGTATTCAGTCACTTGAACCTTCAGAAATCATTGTAATGTGCTGATTTGGTGCTCAAGGTACATTTATAATTAATGAATAGAAATTTCACAACAGCATTTTTAATTGATTTTTTATCATGTAAATGTCTTTACTGTAACTTCTGATCAATTTAATGTGTCCTTGCTGAATAAAATTATTAATTTCTGTTTTTTATGTGTTTAATTTTAAATGAAAACTACTTTTACATTTCTGTCTTTTCTCGTTCTAGTGGGAATCTTTTGGAGCCACCGACTGTTAGACAGAAGTCTGGGTCAAAGTTCACCAAGGTGGAGAAAAAGACCATCAGAGGCAAAGGTTATGACTCAGATTCTGAATCCGATGAGGATTAGAGGACTAAAACATCAAGCTCCATCTTTCTCAGGGCTTACTACATAACAGTCCTAAGTCTTGAAACACCACTTTTTTTTTGCAGTGTCTTATTTAATTTCTTCTGTCTCTCACCTTTGTCCTATGTTTGCCCATTTTAAGATGACTGAATACCACCTAATAGGGTGTTAATACTTCATTTCATTTCTCTTTTAAGTTTTAATGTACAGAAGTGAAACTTTTCTATGGAGCATAATTCTGGTGAAGGTTCTCTCTCTTTAGCACTGATTTATTATCTAAGGAAGATTGAGTTTTTGTAAGATGAAACAACAGGAAGCATTTAAACAATAGTGCAAAGACAAAATCAATATTTTTGCCTCTGGTGGACTAATGCTCCAATCAGTGAGCATCAAACAAGTGCCAAGAAAGCAAACTTCTGTATTCCACTAAGAATTGCCACCTCTTTCTCCCATTGATGTGAAGGAAGTGCATTTTTTTCTTTTATAGCAGTACATGACTTAATAAAAATGATATAATATGCCTGTTTTGCTCATGTCAATGAAAAATGTTTTTCTGATCTGGTAACATTCACATTTTACATTCATGTAGTCGGCTGTCACTTTTATCCAGAGCAACTTACATTTAATTCTAAGTATGTTTACATTTGAGCAGTTCTTGCTTTCCCTGGGAATGCTCTACTGTTTGAGCTACAATAAAGAAGATTGGTATTCAAATCTTTATCAAACAACAAAAACACCACATAAACGGTAGGCCACAAAACTTTTACGACTCAATAGCTTTCTGCTCAAGTGGTTTCAGGAGATGTTTCACCACCAGCTCCCCTCTGCTATTCAGATAAGTGTTGGCCATGTCCTCCTCAGCAGGTAATCCATAGGGGACCTTGAGAGGCTCAATCCTGCAGATGAAGATATTATTTAAATAAGCGAGTTATTTCTAATGGTCAGCAATCATGTTAAACTAATTTAAAGTGTTGTGAAATGTGTAAGTCCAACTTACCTAACTAGGTGCTTAATGATTTTGAGTAGATTGTTCACTGATGGGGTGTTCTTGTGGACACGGGGTTCATGTGCATGATGATAAAGAACATGATGTATTGAATTTTAATATTTCACTGGAATTTCATAATTTCTTGATATAATTGTAATTTTACAAATGGATGGTCACATCCCACCTTCATAAGCCCCAAACTCTTTACAACTTTCTTTTCCCAATAGGGTCGTCTCATCGTGCTTTTAACTCGTGTTACTATATGCAGTTTATGTGGATATTCTGGATCACCACCATGCTTGTCATGTTCTTTCGCTCGTTCCTCAAATACCTGAAGGACGAACATGTGGTGTGATGTCATTACGTTCAATAAACTTAATCGAATAAAACGACGCGAGCACATTTGAACCGTCACAAACCTGTGGAGGAACGCGACTCTTAGTGAATTTAGTACGACATGATGTGGCTTGTGTCAGATTCTGCAATGACAGTTTTACAAAGGTTTTATTAAACACTTTTTGATGACAGTCATCAAGTCAATTATCACGATTTATCCATCGAGGTTAATAATGAAATGTGAAAGAATTTCACCTTTGTGACACTGGAGGCAGATGTTAGAAGAGCTCGATAAAGTCCTGCCATGAATACACACTGACTGGCGTTGACTTGAGCGCTACTTAGGAAGGTTATTAGCTAGAATTAATCATGCCCAGTACAGCACTCAATAAGTGGACTATATAGTGGCCACAACTGCATAAAGGAATTTAATGTTATTCACTCAAATACCCATGTTATTGTGACATGTTAACGGATAAACGTACCATAACAACTAACTACACTACATCGCATACATGTCAAATATGATGACTGGAAACGGAAACGACTCTTTGTTAAGAGCCATTTCAAAATAAAAGTTCCTCGATTCGGAACATTAGAACGGTTCATTTCAAATAACCGGTTAAAAAGTATTACACGATTCTGCTACATCGATATAATTTAAATTTGTATTAAACATCCCTTGGTTGATGTTCTTCTTGCCTAAATCGACAAAATCGGACGTTCTAAATGTTCGAAAGAGACAATTCTCAGTTCAGCTCAGTAAGTTGTTTACTCAGAACGAATCATTCAGACTGTTCAACAGATTCACAAAAAAAGATCCGATTCGAACGAACGATTCATTTATAAATTGAAAATCGCTACTGACTTCCGCTGTGGGCCGATGCGCGGTGCCACCATACTCATCATTGACGAAACGCAGAAGTTCGTAGCCTTTCAAGTTCATTGCGATCGTAGTTGAATTGGTGACCTCGCTTCGTTTAGAGACATGGGAAAGCGTGTTGCTGTAGTGTTGGCAGGCTGCGGTGTATTTGATGGAAGTGAAATACACGAGGCGTCTGCGGTTCTGGTTCATTTGAGCCGTCAGCAAGCTACTGTAAGTTATGGGAACCTCCGATTATCAGCTCTAATGTTCTCCACGGTGTAGAATACAATAGTGGAGATTAAAAACAGAACATAATATCATACCAATGCAACGAATATTTGACTCATCTACAGCACATGACTAATCAAGTTGATTCTATTTATATCAGATCTCACTTATTTAAACATGGACATCGCACAACCATATGAATGGATTGTAACAGACAAGCTGTCTTTTCCCCTCACATTGGTTACACTGCACTCTCTTCACTCTTGACAAAGAAGCAGTGCATTTAAACTATTAAATATTGTACATTAGAGCGTAACTTTTGTTTAGCTGGTTTAAAATAATTTTCAGCCTACCTTGTAAAATAGTATTGTTCCTTTACGTTGTACAGGACTTTGGTAACAGAACTAACCTTCCCACAGGTCAAGATATTTGCACCCAACACTGACCAGATGCATGTTGTAGATCACTTGAAAGGCTCTCCAACAGAGGAAAAGAGAAATGTGCTTGTGGAGAGTGCCAGGCTCGCCCGAGGTGATATCCAAGACCTCTCTGAGCTCAATGTAAAGGATCTGGATGCCATCATCTTCCCTGGTTAGCACACTACTTCTGGAAGAATGTCCATACACTAATCAGCTCAGCATTTCGTTTAGTATTATTTTAACATTATTTTGCAGGTGGCTTTGGAGCAGCGAAGAACCTGTGTACCTGGGCTGTCCAGGGTAAAGACTGTGCGGTCAATGAGCAGGTTAAAACAGTGCTGGAGGCCTTCCATGCTGAGAAGAAGCCCATTGGCTTGTGCTGCATCTCACCTGTGCTGGCAGCTAAGGTTTTCCCTGGCTGTGAAGTGACTGTTGGCCATGACAAGGATGATAGGTAAATTATGTGACTTACAATAGTTTTAGGAAATATTACATTTGTGTACAGAACAAACTCTGCAAACATGCAGAAACTTGTGTTTAATGCAGCTAGTATTCAGTTATGTCTTCAATTTGCATATACACTACTGTTCTAAAGTTTGGGCTCAGAAAGATTTTTTTAAAGAAATTAATACTTTTATTCAGCAAGGATGCATTACTTTGATTAAAAGTGACGGTAAATACTAATATAATGACGGTAAAGGTGTTAATGTACTATAAATATTTTGAGTTAGTTTTCTTTTTTTTTTAGTTTTCATTTTAATTGTAAAGTTTTAGTAATTTTGTTGTTAATCATTTTATTCGTTTTTTGAATATGTCTATATAGTTTTATTCATTTTCATTTCAGTTTTAGTTATTTTAGTAAATCAAGTTAAATTAAATGAAAATGGGAACTTTTAACTGAAATAAAATGTAAAATAAGTTAACATTTATTTTATTTCAAGTTATGATGGTTTTAGTTTTAGTTAGCCCTGTTTAGAACTTTCTGTTCATCGAATAATCCTTAAATAATGTTCTTGGTGTTCACAAAAACATGCAGCAGCGCAGATGTTTTCAAAATGCATAATAATAATAATAATAATAAAATTATTATATTGAAATTATTATTATAGGCTATAGATATTTGATCAAATAAATGCATCCTTGGTGAGCATAAGAGACGTCTTTCAGAAACATTAAAGGGGTCATGTGATGCGATTTCAATTTTTCCTTTCTCTTTGGAGTGTTACAAGCTCTTGGTGCATAAAGAAGTTCTGTAAAGTTGCAAAGACTAAAGTCTCAAATCCAAAGAGATATTCTTTATAAAAGTTCAGAGTCAGCCACACCTACCTAAAGCGGCTCGTTCTAACACCCCCCCACATATCTACCTCACTATGTGGGAAGATTTGCATAACGCCGCCCAAATGTTCACACAAAGAAAGAAGGCGTAAC